TCTACTAAAGCAGTAGTCAACCGCGAGCAATCGAGCGAAATAGTACCTTAAACAAGACAGAGAAATCTCCAACCGGAACAAAACCTCGGAGCTGGTGCTATATCTGCTAGGTAGAAATATGAGGGAGTGTGACCTAATGCTCATGTGGCTACAACGGGGATGTGGTTGGGTGTTCATGGTTAGTTGGGTGTTTGAATTTAAGGTGGAACCTACTATCATAATAAAAAATTAGGGAGGTTATTGTAAGGTCATAATAGTTTGGAGGAGAGAGGAACGCGAGATTTGTCACAAATATATATGATCCGGTTTACATAGAATAATGAATAATAAAAACCAAAGAAATATATTATTTTGAAAAATAATAAAAACATAAAATGTCGAATATCACGAAAACGGTTGGTTTTAGAGCAAAAAGGACCTTGGCCCTAGCTCCCGAAGGTCTGTAGGGGTGTCCGTAGAGTTCCAGGTAGAACCCATAACCATAATAAAAAATTAGGAAGGTTACTGTAAGGTTATGCTGGTTATAATGGTTGGGATGGAGGGGAAAGCGCCAGATTTGTCTTTATGGAAAAGGTAAACATTGAGAAGGTTATGTAAAAGATAAACATTAGGAAGATTATACATAACATAAACATTAGGAAGATTACCGGAAAATCAAAATGGCGGCCGGGCTTATCATCTTAGAAAGGAGTGGGGGGGATGTGAGGGTCACAGGATCGAAAAGGGGGACCTCGTGACGTCATAGAAGGTGTAAACCTCGTAAGTACATGAAAAGAAAATGGTGGTCGGGTACACTCAGCCTCTTAGAGAAAGGGGTGGGGGAGGGGGAAATGTGAGGGTCACAGGATCGAAAAGGGGATATCGTGACGTCACAGAAGGTGTAAACCTCGTAAGTATATGAAAAGAAAATGGCGGCCGTGCTTATCATCTTAGAAAGGAGTGGGGGGGATGTGAGGGTCACAGGATCGAAAAGGGGACCTTGTGACGTCACAGAAGTTGTAAACCTCGTAAGTACATGAAAAGAGAATGGCGGTCGGGTACACTCAGCCTCTTAGAGAGAGGAGAGAAGGGAAAATATGATGGTCACAGGATCGAAAAGGGGCGTGGCTGGTGGTCACGTGACTGACCTCGTGGTGGTTAAGGCTGGCTAGAGGTCCTAAAAGGCAGCGTGCCGTTGTTCAAATTCAAATTCAAACTTCCCGCCATGATGACGTCACTGAAATCCTGGCTTCTGATTGGCAAAAAAGTGCACTAGCTCCCCCAATTCTTATCTACTTTCAAGTCCCGTCAAATTTTTTGTAACTTCTCCCCAGTTATCCGGCACATTCACTTTCTCTGTGAATCCTTGCCTTTTTTGTTGTACGAGTGTTATTATTAGTGTATTTGTACAAGTGTATTACTTATTTATTACTTCTATAGTGTTTTTAAAATTACTTTATATATAGTGTATATTTTATGTATATATATATATATATATATATATACTTTATATATATATATTTACTTTCACTTACCTATATATGAAATATGTATATATATTATTTTTATATCTTTTATCGACGCAGCTGTTATGTGTATGTAAATGCAATGCTTAATATTAGAGCGGACGCAGACACTGATCATTTCTTGTTAAAGTACCTTACAGACAGAGAAAAGAATGCAATGTCCGAGTAAAAGGGAAAAGAACTATCAGGTACCAAAACGAAATTTTAAAAATACCTCAAAAAGCTGAACAATTTAAAGAAATTGTATAGGATTCATTTCTAAAGATGTATGATGAAAATAAGGAAATAAACAGTTGTTGGGAAAAGGTTAAATCATCTTTAAATGTGGGGGCCGAGGAGATATTGAAGACAACACAGATAAGGGCGTGCAGGGAATGGCAGGATGAGGAATGCGTCCGAGCACTTAGGGACAGAAAAGAAGCGAAATTGAGAATGCTTACTGTGGGTACAAGAAGAAGTAGACAGAAGTATATCTCAATGAGAAGGATTGCAAAGAAGATATGTAGGCAGAAGAAGAGAAGTTTTGAAAAAATCAAACTCGAAATGCTCCAAAGCGATTTTGATTTAAAACTGACTGGAAAATTCTACAAAGGCGTGAAGGAACTCAAGAATGGTTTCCAACCCAAAATGACAATATACAAAAATAATAAAGATAAACATATCAGCGATCCATCTAAAATCTTGGAGATGTGGAGAGTGTATTTTAATGATTTGTTAAATGTTGAACAACCAATCCCAAGCAGAGTAGTGCGAAACTGCCCTAGAGTAGAACAGGAGGAAGTTAACAACAGTGATGTATAGCCTCCAGATTATGAAGATTTTTTAGATGTAATAGCCACGCTGAAGAATAATAGATGATAATAAATGGTCTGGATAGTATAGATGCGGAGATGGTAAAGAATTGCGGAGAGCCTTTGTTAAGTGAGATCTACAACCTAATGACGGAAGTCTGGATAACAGAATAAATGCCTAAAGAATAGACTACTGCTATCATATGCCCTGTTTTCAAAAAAGGAGTAAAAACAAACTGCGACAATTATAAATGTGATTCATTGTAAAGTATTTGTAGTTCTGTTGTATAAAAAAGTTCAATTTTGTTCCGAGAAGGTTTTGAGTAAATACCAGTGTGGTCTTAGAATTCGTAAATCAACTATAGATCACATTTTTTCAATAAGGCAAATGTTAGTAAAAACATGCGAATACCAAATGGATTTATATCACGTTTTCATAGATTTTAAACATGCATATGATAGAATAAGCAGAAGAGAATTACTAAAGGTAATGACAAAATTGGGGATTCCCAAAAAACTGGTCACTTTGACAAGAATGGCTCCACGCGGTTGTAAATTATTTGTGAAAATTAATGGCCAATTGTCGGAGAATTTCGAGGTGAAAGTTGGGTGTAGGCAAGGAGATCCTTAATATCTTACTCTATTTAATATTGCTTTAGAGTATGCAATAAGGACGATCCGGACATATCCTGGTGGCACAATTTATAACAGAATGACACTGCATCTGGCTTATGCTGATGATGTAATAATGATAAAAAATAAAACATCATTAGCATGGGCATAAAAGAATTCGAAACCGCAGCCAAAGAACTGGGCTAAAAATAAATAAACGACAGAAGACTGTTTATATGCAAACGTCACAAAATATGCATATATGCAGTGTGGCTTTCACTGGTAGACGGTCACCCACTTAACTGCTAACCACGCTCGGCATTGCTAACTTGGTTACCTATTGCAAGCGCCTTAGCCCGCACGGATACCCCAGGCCAATATATATATAAACAGAATTATTATTATTTTTTTTAAATATTTTTTATTGACAAACGATACTGTCAAAAGGCTAGAGGAATAACTGCTAAGTATAAATGATTTTAAAAACTAACAATGAAATACAATTGTAAAAATAAGAAATAATTGAATAATACACTAATTGAATAATGTTCGTTTTAGAAAAAAAAAGTAAAATAAAATAATTTTTCGGTTGTGAAATTTCCTGAAAATACAAGTACCTATACTCTGGGATGACAGAATATAAATTCACATAATTTTTAACACAACCCGAGGATAAAACCCTATTCTTCAACAAACCTCAACTAAATTGATATGCAATTAAAGCTTATTAAATGAGGGTATCTGTAGGATGATAAAAAAAGTCACAAATTATCCATGTTTTAATGAAAAACGCAACTTGGCGTAGTTTGGCCGCTCAAAAGTCCCATTTGAATGATTTTAACAAAGACAAACTCTATTTGTATTTGAGTAAATTGTGTATAGTTTACTAGACACTATCATAAATTTCCTTTGAGACAGATTGTAATATTTTCAATAAACAAGTTTAAAAAAAAATAAAAGTTTACTAGTGAGCAATTTTTAATAACCTGAATTAAAAAATGTTAGTATAATCACTTATATACATCAAATGAACTTTTTTGTTGGAAATTCTATTTAGAATCACGTCCATATCCGTTGTTGTTTTAATACGTTAAGGAATATTATTATATTATTACTAAAATATTATTTTTGTAGTTATTGCTATTTAAATGTTTTTCTTTAATTATTCATACTTGTGCACGTATTTCTCTTACCTTTTTGACAATATTGTCTGTCAGTAAAAAAAAAAATAATTTTTACTTTCACTTACCTGTATATGAAATACGTAGTAAGGGATATTATTGCTATCGTGAAAATTTTCTAATCTGAGTTTTCAAAAGAAATACATGTTTTGAGGTCTCTGATATTAGATTTAAATAATTAGGTATCTATCGTCATTTTATTACGAAAAATCACCATATAACCTTTTAGAAAATAAAATTTGTGAATAATATCACGAATTTCTCCTTTGTGAAATCCCAACATTATCCAGTTAAAATTTGTGTGACCACTTTTGAACTATCTATGGCAGGCAATGAAAATCTCGTAATTTCATTTTAGTAAACGTTACAATGAAAAATAAGTTTAATAACTAATAGTCGTACACTCATAACATTACTTTACAGCTCTGAAGTAATGGATTATCATAACGTCAAGGTCTAGGGCAGTTTATATAAATACTCGAATATTGTATTCAAATATAGAAAACAAATGTTAAACGAATTAAATTATTAATATGTGTGCATTTATAAACAGGACTTGTGTCTATGTAAATATTTATGAACTGGATGATGTTGGATTATTATTACAATTTATATTAATATTATTATTAATTATATTTATTGTTTATATATTGCTATTTATTATTATTTATATTGCTATATTGCTATTATATTCTATGTGTTTTAATTTTATATGGAGTTAGTATTTAGGTAATGGGAATTATGTATATGCATGCTAATAATGTCTTGCAATTTATTTTTTTTTTTTTTTATCTCAGACTTTAGTAAGGCGTATTGTTATAATGTAATTTAGTTTTTGATCGAAATAAAGCACACTGTTATATACATATACATATACATACATATATAATTTTAAATGTTTTTTCTTTTAGCAATGGAAAAATATACACCAATTTCTTGGACCAAACGACGGTTCCCACTGTTTATGGCATTGGTGATTGCGTCTATGGATGGCCATATGAAAACTACAGTAGTGTAATAGCAGCGCAGTACCTCGTAAGGGTAAGTGTAAGGATTTTTCATTTATAGTATTAGTTGAATAAATTGATTGTTATACACAGGCCATACTCTTAGTAGGTAATTAGTTTGTTACAAATTTGATAAAAATTCAATAAAAGGTTTGTAAAGTTTGTAAGGTTCTGATATTGACCATTAGCGTTCGATATGTGTATTTTAGATTATAAACATTCATTTTCGAAACATTTTGTCGATTGTTTATATCAGGGATCTCCAATCGTTTTGGCCTGCGGTCCATATTGATATCTCCACCAAGTCCCGTTGGCCATGGACTGTGATGAGAGTCAAAACATCAAAACATCAACATATTTTATTGGTTCATCTAGTCTTATTGTGGTTATTTTTATACCAATTTTATATCATGAGTTGGCGTTTAATTCTTTAAAAACAGATCAGAACCTAAAACCAAGGCCTAAAAAGGGTATAGCAGAAGTTTTTTTAATGTGTATGTGTGTGAATGTGAATTACGAAAGTGTAAGTTTCAAGTAAAATGAACCTTGTCTACCATTCCAAAGCAGCTGATTTCAAAAATATTATGCGAGACAGTTCAAGACCAAAACGGGAGAAATGCGGTAAGCGACACATGTGGTACACATATTAATTTTTTAAATTATATACTGTGTGAATATATATATTGGGTGAATGGGCCAAACTGCAGGAGTGGATTGTACCCTGCAAAATAATTTTTAAAACTGATAGGTTCGAAAATACCACCATTGACTAGTATTTCCAACAGTTATTTAATTTACCCTTTCATTTTAGGGAATCGCCTCGCAGAAAAATACTACTTAGAGTGTTTTACAATTAAATAATGAAAAAAAAAATCTGACATTATTATAATGTTATAAATGAATAAATTTATCAAAATTCATCAATTTAATTTTTTAGCAATGGTTTAATGTTTTAATATCATTAATTAATTTAAATCCACATTTCTAGAGATTATTTTCGGATTTCGAAGAAACGCCAGAAGTACAACTAGGTATCAGTACTGTTCAGACCTACCCACTTCAATACGCTTTTGTAGGCTTATCTGAAGAACAAGCTAGGAGTACATATCGCAAAGTCGTTACGTACATTGGATCGTATAAACCAAAACCTAATCTCTGGCTGGCGAATGACGATATTTCTGCAACCCTGAAATTCGTTTGCTACGAGGAAGCTCCGGAAGTAAGTACATGTTATTCTATAAGTATATGAAATATATAAATAAGTATATGAATACCTTTGCCGATCGTCCTGTACAGATCGACCTGAGAACAACAGGATTTATAGTTATCAGCTGTTTGCCTCTGATCAGCCTCCACTGGTCCTTAATGCGGCTGAGTGAGAGGCGCTGGGATCTCCTAGAGTCTGCCTTTTCTTCCACGACTGAGGGAAAAGGCTTGACTCGGAATTTCACTGAGCTAATGAATTTAGTAAACGTTGTATAAAAGCATGCTTGAATTTAAGTTGTTATTTTGATTAAGTTAGTTTCATTTTTTGTTTATAGACACTTTTATTGTTTTAGTTATATTATTTTGCTGTTTAATTTATTGTACATAGAGTGTGTAGTGATTTAGGGAGGTGGCCCCATTGGCGTCATTGGACCACATATAGCCACTGGCCCTCCAGGTTAGGAGAACAGTACACTGAAACTCACACATCTACACTAATTACAGCACACTACACTCACTCCCCCACTATATACTAAGGTCACTTACATTACCAACGCTATCGTCACCTCCCTTAGGGAACCCCCCCGGACAGGGATGCAGGTATACCCCCCCCCCCACATCTCTATCGATTGCATATCGTTGTGTAACTTGTAACTATTTATTTCAAAAACAAGAGAATGCCCCCAAAAATGGCGTCCAAACATGACAGACTTTGACTCGAATTAGTTTTTGGTCACTGAGAATCAGCATTTAGCTTTATTTCGTCATACGTAGCCTTTTATTAAAGATGGATAGTCAGATAATAATAAAACATGAACAAATATTAAAAAATAATTGGGCCGGCCTTCTTCGCGGTGGGCCAGACCCCACCCATTCCTCCACCCCACATCCCTATAAATTGCATATCGTTGTGTTCAATGTAACAATTTATAAAAAAAAAGCCAATGTTCTCACAAAAAAAAAGTGTACGAACTGCCCCAAAATGGCTTCCAAACATGGCGGATTGACGACTTTGACTTTAGTTAGTTTTTTGGTTGCTGATAATCAGCATTTAATTTTATCGCAAAAAAAAATTATTATTTTTGTTCACTGAATATCTTGAATTTTTTCTATAAAGTTTGTAATTTAACATGTTTTTTAATATTTACTTTATCTTAGAGGTACGTTAAATTCTTCCTACCTTCCCAGAAAAAATGAGACTTATTAACACTGCTTTTATAAACTAAAATATATACTTAATCTCAACTACATATAATGAATAATCGCTAATAAAAAAATAATTTTATCTTTTTATTTCCTTTATTTTGTCCCGTGATGGGGCCATATCATAAAATATTAGATAATTTTAATGTCTGAACCTGGCGGGATCATCAATATTGGCCTCTTTAACTTTTAAAAAATAGCGTAGTTCAAGTATTTGGGTAACCCATGACAATGTACCCGAGGTCGAGGTGAAGAAAAGAATATTGATGGCTAACATGTGTTACCATGCCCTTCACCTCTCGACTTCTTCTACCTCAGCAGAACAAGTTACATCATTGCAAAACATTAATCCGCCTAGTCCTGCTGTATGCATCCCAAACATAGGCGGCAACTAAAAGAATTTGTCAAGACCTCCTAGTCCTTGAGAGAAAAATTCTTCGGAGAATATTTGAAGAAGTACAGATCGATTGAAATTTGACAAGACGGACAAACGGCGAAATTTACTCGATTTTCAATAATCAAGATGTCGTTTTGAGAATGAAGTTTGGAAGACTGAGATCCTCTGGAAGACTGAGAGAGAGAGGGCTGGCCATGCTGCTAGGATGAAGAATGAAGCAATCCCTAAGAAGATCCTGACAGAACTCTAGAAGAAGAGGGAGACCAAAACTAAGATGTTCAGATAGTGTGGCAGGAGATTCAAGGGATGCCCTGAGTGTCAACAGCTTGCTGATGGAGAATGCTGATGGAGGAGGCCAAGACCCATCACAGAGTTGTAGAGCCGCAATAGTTGGATTGTACATAGTCATATCTATGGGTAGTCATACCTATTTTTTTTTTTTTTACTTTTTTTTTTTGTTCTTTCCTACCTCGCCTTTTAGGCTATACGGGATTTTCCCGGGCCGGGAGGTGAGGGCGGGGAATTTAAAATCCCCTCCGTCACCGGGACGCGAACTCGTACTTTTTATATCATCTCATATCTCTGTTATCCGGTTGCCAGGCAACTAGCGGTGCTGTTACACACGCTTTAGCCTATTCGGCCACCCCGCCCCCTATAGTCATACCTATATACAATATATACAATTAGGCAGGAACCCCAAGCCAGACTTCTCCCTCCAACTATAGAAAGAAAAGCAAGACTCCAAGAGGTCCCTGCGCTACTCTTTCAACCACATACACTCATGTCTTGAGTGGAGAATATTGCCATTGGCAGAACTCCAAGATATATACTACAAAAGATCTCTAGGCCACTGCCGCTTCAACCTTCGAGGAGGATTGTAGGGATGAGTGGAACTAGATAGGGATTGTGCTAGGGGTTTTGGGTGATTTTTAAGGTTCTGACGGAATTTGAAAATGTTTTCAGGAATAAAATCGAAGACAAATGGGATATTAAGGTCATGATATAGGGTGTTGTTGGTTACATAGAACGGAGCATCGACTATTGATCGGAAGACTTTGGACTGAAAGGATTGGAGCCAAACAACTAAATCTTAAAACATAGAATAACTGTTTCACATGTGAAAACGTTTTGCAGTTTGGTTAGATTAAGTTTTGTTGCTCAACATCTCAAGTCATTAATGTTATTTTTGTTTTGGTTAAATATTTCATTTTTAAATTGGTTTGAATCAATTTGAAATTGAAATATGATTGCTTGGAAATATATCAAACATTATATATTTGCAAACAATCAATCAAGTAACCAAAGACAGGGAAAAGTACATTAAAAATATTACAAACAAATATATCGTCTATTCGTTTAAATACGTCACTGAGTACATTATTTATTGAATTGACTTTTAAGAACGTTTTTATGAATTTGAAAAGGAAATATTTAACTTAAATAAGAAGAACATTAATGACTTAAGATGTTGAACTACAAAACTTAACCTAACCAAACTGCAAAATGTTTTCTCATGTGAAATAGCTCTTCTATGGTTAAAGATATAGATATTTGCCTACTCTATAAAAATATAAAAGTGAAAGGTTCCACCTTAAGGTGGGTTTGTAAGGAAATTTCAGAAAAAACAGTGTCATTTACTGAAATATTTGTTATTATCATTCTGACGCGAGATTTTGGTCCGTTTTTCGTTGAATAAAATGTTCCGATGTACGGTTAGCTGCTAAAATGTGTTCAATTTTGGTGATATAAATATTGAATGGAACAGGTAGAGCAATATATTATTACGGTATTAGTTATTAGGTATATTAAGAGGTATTAGGGTCGACGACAATAAGAAAAACTATATTAAAGATAATATTAAGGCTAAGCTAAAGGCTGGAAATAGTTAGAATTAGTGGCAAAATTACCCAACTCGCACCTTCTATTCCGAAATTTAAAAAAATAATAAACGATGATAATTCTTAAAGTTCTTTACAAAGCGAACACATTAAAGGACGAACAACGCCTCAGTGTTTTTGAAAAGTAAGTATTTCGCAAAATATGAGAACCGTAGAAAGACGACTTAACAGCAGAATTTAAACAGCTACATAACGCCAAATTACGTGATTTGTACCAGATGAATATAATTGAGACGATGGATTCACGTATACCCAATCTACCAATCCATAAAAGTTTAATGTGCACTGGAGCTACTGGTAAACTTTCTAAGAGTATACCTTAATAAAGGTGGGAGGATAAGGGCTGGACCCCAGCCGGTGGATGGGAGCATGTAGGCAGCGTTGGTGTTATGGGCAACGTACTTTCGGAATAGAGGGGAGGGGGAAGCGCCCCGTGAAATCTCGCCCCGGACGCCAAAAATACACGCGTCGGTCCTACCTGTCACCTAAAAGTATCCGTGTTCTCAGCAAAAATGACTGCAATAAATTATTGCAAAGCTTTAATTTCTTTTTTTTTTTTTTTTTATTACTTAGGATATATCATTAGAAACCAGAGTTGGGCATTTACTCGAGTAAATGTCGAGCAGTGACGTCACGAGTGATCACTCTTGGAAGCTTAGCCATGAGTAATTTTGAAAATTACTCGTGAAACATTTTTCCTCCATGAGTAAATCACTCGTGAAAAATGTTATCTCCATGAGTAAATTACTCATGAAAAATTTTAACGCCATGAGTAATTTTGAAAAAAAAATGTTTTTATTTTATTTAACCTAATTTTTTTTCACCTTTCCGATTTATTCGATATCGGGGTCGACATATATGTTTTGGGGTATGTTTTTTATGGATATGTTATCCAATTTGAGATTGGGCCCCCTGGGCCTCTACTTTTTTTAACTTTTCGGATTAAATCGATATCAGGGTCGACTCTTATGTTTTGGGGGGCGCTTTTTATGAAGATGATATCCAATTTCAGATTGGGCCCCTCGGGTCTCGTTTTTTTTTTACTTTTCGGATTAAATCGATATCAGGGGATATTTTGGGGGGCGCTTTTTATGAAAATGACATCTGATTTAAGATTGGGACCCCCAGGCCTCAACCTTTTTTCATTTTTTGGAATAAATCGATATCAGGATCGACTCTTATGTTTTGGGGGAAGCCCCAAAAGGCTTAATCTCAAATCCGAAATAATTTTCATAAAAAGCGCCCCCCAAAACATAAGATTCGACCCTGATATCGATTTAATCCGAAAAGTTAAAAAAAGTCGAGGCCCGGGGGGGCCAATCTCAAATTCGATATCATTTATATAAAAAGCGCCCCCCAAAACCTATAATTCGACCCTGATATCGATTTAATCCCAAAAATTAAAAAAAGTCGAGGACCGGGGGACTCAATCTCAAATTGGGTATCATTTTCATAAAAAGCGCCCCTCAAAACATAAGAGTCGACCCTGATCTCGATTTAATCCGAAAAATTAAA